GTGAGGCCTCCCTGCTGGCCTCCCACCACAGCTGCGGATTGAGTCTCCTAGTCTCTGCCTATTTTGTCCATCTTAAAAACTGTTGCTAAATGAATCTTCTTACATCAACACTTTTCTTCTTTTAGCAATTCTCCATTGTCATCAGAGCCATGACAACTTAGCCTCAGTATCCTGGTCTAGCTTATGCCCTCCTTCCATCCATGCATTTATTGAAAAGATCTTTAGTGAAATGCACAATAGGAACTTCCTGGTCTAGTTAGGCCACTCTGCCCGTGGTGCATTCCTAAATATTCTCTGAAATACTCCTTGTCCACTCCTTACCTCCATAGCTTGCTAATCAATGTCTTTTTCTAATCTATCACAATATTTAAGGGCATTTTATTCTTTTCTTTTAAGTTTTCCACATTTCCTAGAGCAGATCCTTACATATAACAAACCCTCAATAAGCATGTGTTAATTAAATGACTTGCTCATTAAAAAAATGAGGAATTATACAGTAAATACAACAAACTGCTTAGTGAAATACAGGTTCTTGAAGCAATAGGGAAGAAAACCAGTAAGTTCAACATTAAAAAAAAAAATACATATAACAAACCCTCAATAAGCATGTGTTAATTAAATGACTTGCTCATTAAAAAAATGAGGAATTATACAGTAAATACAACAAACTGCTTAGTGAAATACAGGTTCTTGAAGCAATAGGGAAGAAAACCAGTAAGTTCAACATTAAAAAAAAAAACACCTTGTTTCTATGAATTAACCTGTTAAGTGAAAGACTTTTTTTTATCCAAAGCCTGTGTTGACTATCTCTCTCTGCTTATGGACCATCACAATCAAATGGTGGATACATTAGAAGATTATATGTCTTTTGAGTCTTTTCACACATTTTAGACATTCAAAACTATTATCAGATTAGTTTTAAGGAAGAAAAGACAGCCATATTTACCCAAGGCAATATTAACTTAGTTAGCAAAATATGTTTATGTCATATGATAATGATCTCTTCTGCGTAGCATCATTTCTTGAACATCTGCTGTGAGAAGGACTTGTGTGAGGTGTTGTGGAGCCTGAGGCCTAAGGTCCAGTTATGAAAACGGAGCTCTAAACCTAGAGATGACCAAGACTTTCATGTGCAGTAAGGGATGCAGTAAACCCTAGAGGTTGGAAAAAGCAGGAAGGGTGGACCTGAGGCTTGAGTTGAGTCAGGAAAGCTGAGCAAGATGCAAATGCTCAAAGGAAAAAGGGAAGACTGGGGGAAGGCAGCGCTAACCTTGTGCTGGATTAGAATTTTTTAGTATGGTTACCTTACTGAAGATACGTGGTTCCCAAGCAACCATGGGGAAGTGTGTGTTCTGTGTCTTTGAACTTTACTAAGCAGTAATGGCCCATATGATGACCATCGGGTGGACTGGTCACTGAACTAGGCCAGCCCCCCTGCTCCCTAATCTCCCTGAGTACACAGGTATTTGCCATCATTACCCAGGGGCCCCAGAAATGACAATTCTGAAGAGCCCAGTCACTTCACGACATTTTTAAATGAATTCATACCCAGTTCTTAATGAAGTAGGTGGCATATGGATGACCTGCTGACAGGATGCTGCCGCTGAGACAAAGTCACCTGTCTTAGGGATTGTTCTGGTGCAGGGAGACGGGCAGAACATTCCCTTCACTTGGTAGTTAACATTTCTTTCACTTTTCCAAAATCCTTGGGTACATGTGATCCCCTTGGGGACAATATCTTAGTCATCTCTGTCCCCACTGTCTAGCCTCCGTGCTTGGCAAAGATAGGGGCCTAGCTAGTGGTTGGAGAACTAATGAATGAAGGGATAGATGAAGGGGGAAATAAGAGTTTACTTATTTATATCTCCAAAATCTGGGGAGAGTTTAGCTTGACTTCAGGGATGATACATGAACAGATGATATTCTGTCCAGGCTTAGGAGATGGAGTTCGAAAGCACTGGAGTCTCTGAAGGCCTCTGCATTGTAGCCATAACAGGCTTTGCTGGGGAGATGTTTGTCCTTGATTTCTTTGTTTTACCTTCCACTGTGCTGTTGAACAGTGAGACCTAAAAGAGAAAATCACAGATTTTAGCACACTAAACCCTCTAAGTATTCTCCCTGGAATCAAGGTAGGAAAAAACGGGTGTCTGTTGTTGGGAGTAGGAAGGAGATCCACGAAACTGGAGCAAAGCTTGGGAACAGTGAAAGCTGGATGTGTGGCTGGGAGGTAAGCATCATTCCATCAATGATTTTTGCAGTTTTCTGTCTTTTCTGAAAGTAGAAAACAAATGAAAGGAAAGAAAAAATAGAGATGAGAAAAACGCTGTTAATCAAATTTTGTGGAATTTTTCCTTTGGTAGTTGAACGTTCTTCAACCCTATTGTTTTATATTTATTATTTTTCTTACTTTCTGTTTTGACTATGTTGCATGATTGAAACAAACAAAACATACATGAAAATGTGTCGGACCAAAGTGATACCCAAATGCCATTAGCAGTCCCTTCAGGAACCATGAAATGGAACAACATGGTACTTTCTCAATATCAATGTTCCACTGGTACACAGTTTATGTCAGATTGTAGTTATAAACTGACCTCTTATCTATTTGACTAGTAGAACTTACAGATATTTGGGACTTCTTTTAGTCATGTAAACATCACCCTACCATTTCTGTAGTTATTGTTAAATGCAACATTAAACTGAATGAAGTTAAATTTGAAACCAAGACCATTTTAAGCCAAACCAGTGTCAGTCAGCTTTGAGACCACATAGATTTCCAATAGAACAAGGCATTGGGAATATGGCCAATATTCCCAAATGAGACAAATGTCTCTGAGATTCAGAACGGGTGCCAGGTAAACCTTTATGTCACAAACCATTGTAATTCCCACCCTAAAATCCTCCAGTTCTTATGATTATTTAAAAACTCTGGATTGTATAAATGAGGTTGTGAATTATCAATTAGTTATCATCATCTTTTTTTGTTTAAATCCTGATGGTATTTTCTGTTTTGCCCAATTAACAGGGAAATTATAAATTTTCCATTTGTAGTCTTATTTGACCCAATATAATAATGATCTCTCTGATTTAAATTCTTCTCTCCTGACGTGTTTGGCATCCTTAATCCACCTGAGTTACATTATCATTATCATCCTTACTGCATTTCTATATTTATTATGCAACTGTTTCAAGAAATAAAAATCAGTCTCTGCTTGTAGAATTGAAAAGTGAACAAGCCCCAACACAGACCAAAGCAGGATTAATAATGACATGTCATATAATATTCAACCACAGCAATATCCACTCTAAACAAAACTTTATCGTCAACATTTCCTTGTGGAGCCTGGGAGCTGTGTCAGTCGCTTTCTGCTTTCCCCACTGACCTTTTGGGAAATTTTTTTCCACTGACAGCATTGTCATTCTGTCACAGCAAAAGACAACAGAGTAACATAAAATGGTGATTGGCAAAAGTAAGGGCTCAGGCTGGCCTGTCTGTGGCAGTTACAGTAAATTCCTCCTTCTAATTTAAGGAAACACTGGTGTTCCTTAACATTTTGAAGTTTCTTTAGCACATTTCAAAACTGTCTGGCTAGATATTTAAAATAACTGAGTATAGTAGATGTATAGTTTTTGAGGATTGCATTTCATCAAAAAGCAGCTGCACCCATTAAAAACACTGTACCCATAAATTCCTTATTTTTGCCAATTGCTTTTTACCAGGTTTGCATTTTTTTCTTTTAATCCAGTCTAGCTTGGCCAAGTGAAGCCTAGTGTTCTTTCCAGATCTTTTCAGGACCATTTTTGTCTGCCCAGGGGAACTCTGAGTGTCACTCTTGGTGACAGAAGTGGGATGGGCAGCCTGTCCCATGGGTTGCCTGCTCAAATTATGTGAAGGATTTTCCTCATTTTGAATCAGTATTTGCTTTCTTCCAGTGCCTGCTATTGTGTCTTCATCTATAGACTTTTCCAACTCTCTCTTGCTTCTTTATACCTCTCTTACCCTTTTAAGCCAGAGGTTACCTGCTCATTCTGAAGCTAACCATTTATAAAATATATTTCTTCTCAACATTCCATTAGACGTCATTAGGGAAGACCTGATTATAATAACCACAGCACCTGACAATTAATAGGCATCCAATATATGTTAGTTACACTTCTGTTTTCAAAATATCAATAAGCTACAGAAGAAAGCACAGAGGCTTTGAAACCAAACAGGCCTGGATTCCATTGCCATTCAAGTATTAATTTTCTCTAGGCTCTCAGGCTATATTTTTCACCTTTCTCAGTCTCTGTGTTCTCAGCTTTAAAAAAAAAAGTTGATGGTAAAACGCATTTTACCAAGTTGTGTTGAGGATTATCTGTGCTAGCATCCATAAAGCACCTAGCACAGCTCCTAGTACATAGTGGGTGCTCAGTAAATATTAGTTTCCATGCACAACACATCCTTCAGCAGCCCCATCTACTTCCTGACCGAGACTAACAGTGTAATCAGAAAAGATTAAGAAGCCTTGGCTTCCAGACTTGCCCTTTCTAGTCCCATGAATTTGGACAAATCACTTTACCACCTTGTATGTTTCTCTATCAAATAGTCCCATGCAAACCAGAGAGGTTTATTGTAAGGATCAAATAAAATATTGATGGTTAATAACTAAAAAAATCATGGTGCATTCTTTACTGTAAGGTATTGCTATTGCCAGTAGTAATTTATCAGTGAATAACTGCTGCATGAATGAATGCTCTGTCCCCCCATCTCAACCCTCCCCGCACTGGAGCAGGGAGGAAAGCCCAATAAATGGTACTAAAAACCAGCCCATGCGTGTTGATGGAAACATGCACATATGAGAATAGCCGCCTGGTAGGTGAAAACCCAGGCAAACACTCTCGTGTGAACATGTGGCAGAAGAGCCCATTGACTCAGTGCTGATGTGAACACCACAGAGGCTCAGAATTCCAGAGTTACAATTGTCAACGACTGACACTCTTCCTCTCATTTGTTCCAGGAATTTCTATTACATCACGATGTTGCGGGATCCGGTGTCGCGCTACCTGAGCGAGTGGAAACACGTCCAGAGGGGCGCCACATGGAAAACCTCCCTCCACATGTGTGATGGGAGAAGCCCCACCGCCGATGAGCTGCCCACCTGTTACCCTGGGGACGACTGGTCTGGGGTGAGCTTGCGGGAGTTCATGGACTGCACCTACAACCTGGCCAACAACCGCCAGGTGCGCATGCTGGCCGACCTCAGCCTGGTGGGCTGCTACGACTTGACTTTCATGAACGAGAGTGAAAGAAATGCCGTCCTGTTGCAGAGCGCCAAAAACAACCTCAAGAACATGGCCTTCTTTGGGCTCACAGAATTCCAGAGGAAGACACAGTTTCTCTTTGAGAGGACATTCAACCTCAAGTTCATCTCCCCCTTCACACAGTTCAATATAACTCGGGCTTCCAACGTGGACATCAACGAGGGCGCCCGCCAGCGCATCGAGGAGCTGAACTTCCTGGACATGCAGCTTTATGAGTATGCGAAGGATCTCTTCCAGCAGCGCTACCACCACACCAAGCAGCTGGAGCGCCAGCGGGACCGGCAAAGGAGGCGGGAGGAGCGCCGGCTGCAGCGGGAGCACAGGGGCCACCGGTGGCCCAAAGAGGCTGGGGACGTGGAGGGGGCAGTCACCGAGGATTACAACAGCCAGGTGGTGAGGTGGTGACCCCCAGACCTCTCCTCCCTCAGGAGGGGGGAGGATGAGCAGGTGCACTGACCTTCCGTGGTTCCCTGGGAGAATGTTGGACCATTCTGAGGACATCTGGCTGTAGGTGGCTTGATTTGGATACCTGCTTCCTCGTGGTCTTTACCCAGCTGGAGATGATCCATCTTGTTCTTTTTTTCCTGACGTTTTTCAGTCCGTGATATGAAGTAGGGTAGGCCACTTTAGTTTGGGCCATAGAGGCACACATGAAAAGCCAGGTTATGGCTTGGATGTTCTGATGAAACTGGTCTGCTTCATACTGTCTCTGTAACGGAAATATTGGTCTATTTAAAAAGAGAGAAAAGGAAGTCCCTTTCAGCGCTTAGATGAGGTTTCATGCCAATCCTCACCTGGCTGTTGTCTCTCATCTTTGAACTCTGTTTGAATGTGGTTGAAATCACAAGTAGAGTAACAGTGCTTTGTTGTTACAGCTACTTTTAAACCAGATTGCCCTACTATTGACCATCACTAGAGACTCACCTCCTACAAGGCGTCATAGCCCTGAACCATGCTTTCTGCCCCAGTTAGGGAATGGCTAGTGGATTCAGGGCAGGGGTGCCTATGGCCCCTGAGAGATGAACATTGGTAGGGACATTGAGGAGAAAATGGGCTTATTAACTAATGCCTGGGAAGATCACATCTTATCGATTGTTATTTTCAAGGTAAGGAATGAATGACAAATGAAGGGGAAAACATTTCCAACCAGCTACAGAACCTTAGTTTTTTAAGGAATATTTCTGTTTTTGCTCTTTGGAGCAGTCATTGCCTTTGATATGGTACTGCCAGATTTGAGATTCTGTTATCACAGAGGCAATAACGTTTACAAGGAATTGGCCTGAAGAATAGGGGCTTAGGGCTTAGCTAGCATGTACACAAAATGTATTCAAGGTCACTAAAGAATGACTCAGATTTAGGCCAGAAGACTTGGGACTCAATGGGAGAGTTATCCCAGGTGTATAGGCCGATGCTACCTCCCAAAATCTTGAATATCTCCAGCCTGACAACTTCTATGATTTTTATCTGCTATTAGACTCTCGCTATAGCCAGCAAATCAGACTGGAGTTGGTAACACTGGACCCAAAAATGTACTGCATTGCCAAGGGCTGCTTGTTTTCACCCATCCCCAAACACAACTATACTAATGTGAAGCTTATTGGATAATAAGGGGAGAAGTACAAAAGAGGTCATAGAAGGCCCTTGCCCAGCATTCAGTAGGAGGATCAGAGTAGATAGAAACAGATTGATCTGATCAGTCCTTTCAAGGAGCTGAAGGCAAAATGAGTGAAACTCCTAAATCAGATTGAAAAGCCTATTTCCTTGATATCTAACATGTTTGATGTTTAAGCCAGCTTTACATAAGCCACATCTCAGCCTCCAGAATACTCTCTTTGGGGTTGAGAGTCAGTCAACCTACAAGCCTTCATGTGCAGAGTGGGGCCCAGCGTCTCCATCAAAGGGAGATTGGGAAGGACCACGGTGATCCTTCTCTCACAGGCCCGGGATTCAACCGTCATGCGAGGGAAGGCAGTCCTAGGGACCTCCCCTGGGCCAGGAATGGTGGGAGGCCCTTCTCATTCCTTCAGTCTTTTCACCGCAAGGTAGATATTATTAGGCCCAGTTACATAGACGAGGAAAAGTGAAACCCACGGATAATCAGCAGCTTCCTCATGGGTTGTACACTTGGTCTGGCTGACTGCAAAGTGTGACTCTTTTCACTCCATTAGGTTTTCCATATGGAATAAAAGCTTCCTGTCAATAACACAAAAAGCCCCTCTTCCTGCCCAGAAGGGTCTGTCTCTAACCCACACAATGGTGTGACTGTACAGCACCGAGCTGGCTGTAACCCACGGCCATGCAGCCTTGGGAGGGTCCAGCCCTCTTCCCCCCAACTAACCCATCAATGAGCTGAGAGATGGGTGACTTCTTGGGCAGTTGTACCTTCTGAGCCATGTAGGAGGGTGAGTTAAAGGGGCCAAGTAAATATTGCTTGTTGGTTGGTAAAGATTAAGCTCACAAAATATTAGTATTTCCCTTTCCAATGATTTGTTCCTAAGGTAGAGAGGAAAGGAGGATCCCAACTAGGATTAATGAGCAGTTTGCTCCTATCTTCCCATTTCAATGTTAGGATCTAATGTTCTGCCTAAAATGACAGGGCTGCAAATTACCTCTGCCTGCCAGTATGAAACACATGCACGCACACACACATGTGCACACAATAACAATCCAGTGTTTTGTCATGTGGAAAATGGAAACAAGTTAGAAAGCATTCAAATTGTTTCTTTTAAACTCACTTTAAATTTTTGGCAGGGAATTCATGCATAGCTGAGACTTGGAAGCATCCTTGGCTAACTTCACACTGTTCCTTAGGCACCTTGGGATTTATATCAAAAGGCTTTCCAAGGCATTGCTGCTGAAGGCATGACGTGTGGTGCTCCACTTGAGACCAGATATCAGGATGTTCAGAGGAGAAACCATCTCTTTGAGTTGGCCTGAGGCCAGTGCTGAGCAAATTAAAAAGACGGACACGGGCTTCTTCCCTCATATCATTTCATTCGAAAGCAGCGTGCTTCTCATATCCCTGGGGTCCTATGTTGATAGAAATGAAGAGGTAGGGATGGATGCAGTTTGTTCTCCAAAAATTGACTGCACACCTACATGCTGGGCGAAGCTCAGAGAAGAGATGCCAACAGAACACATCCTACATCAGTGTTAAAAGCCCAACAAGAGGCCAAAAAGGAAAAAAAATGCCCCAGGGAGTTCCACAGACCACTGAGTCCTGCAGTTGCCAGGTACCTTCCTTCCCTTCTCTTAGCACAGGCAGCCCACACAACCAGATTGGAAGGAGGTGTCCTTATGTGTATGTGTGTTTAGATTATTATTAAGGAGTAAGCACATGCTATCCATTCTGTCTCCGAATTTATTGGCAGCCTACTTTTGGCAACTGGAGAAAACATGCCCTGATAATTATTTGGATATTCTCTCTAATAACTGAATAACATCAGCAATCAGTGTTAGGTAACAGCTAAGGGTATCATGTGTGCTATTTAAAAATCATAAAAATGTGTTTCCTATCATCTACAGGAGGTAACTTTTTCCTCCTTTATAGGTGATCAAACATTGTAAATAAGAGGATTTGTCCAAAAATCTGAGTAGAGATAGTGTTCACGTAGGGTAGAAAGTCTACCAAAAAAGACCCAGCAAGGCCACCTAGTGATGATCTAATGAGCATAAATCATTAAAAAATATAGATATAAGCCCATAGAAACTTATTTCCATTTGGCTGCTTTAACAGTGAAACTCAAAATAATAATGATTTCCATAAGATTGAAGCCACAAACTGACTGGATAGCTCTGGAGCATGACATTACAGAAACCCAAGGCCTCTCTCCTTGCACTTTCATCCTAATGTGCACCTTCCACCTCATAGTCCAAGATGACTGCTGCAGCTCCTGTCGTCTCATTTGTACTTCAGACAACAGAGAGGAAATTAAGGGACGTTGCACATATCACTTCCAATCACATTTCTTTGGCTAGAACCTAGGCATTAACTATAATCAACTGAAGTGAGGGCAAGGAAATGTCTTTATTATTAGTTGCCTTTATTATTGCTTGATAAATATAGGGATTCTATTATTAAAGAAACAAAGTGAAAATTAAGACAGATAAAGCTATCAGTGTCTGAACAAAAGGGAATTTTAAAATATTTCAAATGCTTTTCAAAGTCATCTATTTCATTTTTTTGTCTTGCAAAGGATAAGATTAAAATCTATAACATTAGATGGCATTTAATGCTTTCAAGCATTTAGTATATCACTTGATCGTCATTATATTCTTGTATTATAAATAGGACCTCTATTCATTATCCCACTTGATATTTTGACATGGACATTCAGAGATGTTAAAGGATCCAGAGATTCTAGTTTGTGAACAAGAAAGTTGCTCAGAGCCCCAGTCTCTTGACATTACAGCCTTTCCTACTACTTTATGCTGCTTGGCAGCAGTATCAGTATTTGGAATTGCAAGAATATGAAATCGAAATCTTTATTGATTTATATTTTCCCTTACCTTCTTGTGGACCTTCAGTGACTTAGAAAACGCCAAGGGAAGTGGTAGAGTTGGCTTTCAATCCCCCAAAGAAGGAGGCTCCTATTAGGAGAGAAATGTCCAAGGCATCATTGCGACAGTGTTTCAGGGGAGATCAAGAAGCACAGACACTCAAACACCCTTTGCTGGATGTCCACTCCATCCAGTCCAAAAGCTGAATATTCAAGATGAAGGCTAAGGAAATGTATTCACCGTTCCTAGGGAAAGCTCAGTGTTAAGAAACATTTAGAATCAGTAGCAGCCTTAATAGTTAAGCTTAAGGGGTGATCAATAGAACCCCACTCAAAAAAAAAAATCTCCTTTCCTCTCTACTTCCCCAGGTCCCTGGAATTTTATCAGCAACTTATTGGTCTGGCTCTTAAAGGTTTTATTTGGTATTAAATGAGTCCCTTTGCACATTTGCCGGAGAGAGGAAATTCTTTAAGCTGTCCTAAACTAACATCTTCACACAGAGTTTCTCTGATTCCTCTCCAGTCATGACCTTTAGCTGAGAAGAAGGTCTTGTATGATAGGATCATGCAGAGGTGGGGGTTAGGGAGAGCAGGGGTGGCTACAGAGGGAAGCAGTGCTCCTAAAAGAGAAGCAGGTCGTTCAAGGTGGAAAGATGAGGAATTCATTATGTGCCGGGAAATACTGAAAAATAGAAAAGTGACATCATTTCTGTCCTCAAGAACAAGGGCTGACTGGAGACGTGTGGACTGCAATTCTTGTGGCTGTTTAAAAGAGCAGGAAAGGGCATGAGGCTGTTTCTGTACAAAACCAGAGCATCGGTACAGTTTTAGTTTCAGGGACTGAAGTAAAGACCGAATGAGTTGGAGAAGCTGGATCAAAGAGGGAAAGCTGGGTCGGATTTAGGCAAGGAGTACCTTGATCTGATCACAGCTGTGTCTCCAAGAGTTCCCTTCCCATAGTTATTGAGTCTCCACTGGTCCCTAGAACTGCAGTGGGAAGTCTCCAGGCTGGGTAACCGGGTGGCTGAGTCTAATGACTCTACGCAGTTGTGTCACCCCTAGGAGCATGGAAAGGTTCTTTCTCCAAAGCACTTTTGGTTTTCCTTCTTAACCCTTTCCTCCATTTCTACTGGATATAAGCCTGCTAGTCTCTCACCACCTTCACCTGGACACATCTGAACTAATTCCTGAAAACTGAATTAGCCCTTCTGGGCAGGTGGGAGGGTTCTGAGACCTGTGGGTTTTGCAGCCTCATGGATGAAATGCACACGGACCCACCGTCACAACACATTGGCAGGACCAACCTGCCTTGCAGAAGTGCTGAGACGTCCAGAGAACTGGCCTGGCTTTGAACACCAGCAACACCTACAAGACAAAAGCCCCTGAATTTCCAGTCAAGGACTCAAGGTAACCCAACAGAACTCCAGAGCTGAGAGCAAAGAAGCACAGGTGTTTCATGAGCCTGTGTTCTGAGTTGTTTGTGGAAAAGACTGCACTGTCATCCTTTGACACAGTACATGGAACCTCTGTGAGTTACACATTCTTCTGCACTGTGGGACCTCATCAAAGGGCCGATGTCAGTGCTGAGAAACCTCCGTTCCTGCCAGGGAAACTGGGTCCTGAGGAAGCACGCTGTGTGATGCAGTCATTGTCACGTTTGTCTCCCACCAACTTGTCACATCTTTTTTTAATCCTGTGGCTTTCTTTTATTTTCTTCTCTGCCCACCCACCCAGACGTACTTTCTGGGTTTTGCTTGCATTATTTTGCATTTTATGTATCAGAGATGAAAAATGTTGGAAAGAAAAATCTGGACTTTTATCTGGTGTTGTCCCATTTTAGATATAAAGGTAGTTATCCAATAGATAGCAAATCATTTCTTCTAAGAGATATTTCCTTTTGTTTCTGTGCAATAATATGTATGAACTCGGGTATTAGGAGATTGTATTGTGACATTATCAACCGTATTGCTATTTAAACATGATAGTTTGTAGACCTGGGGGAATCTCCATTGATGTGAAGCACAATTTACTGAATAAGTTAACATATTAAACTGTCGTGATGTCAAGAACACTTGTTTTCCCCATGATTTTGTTAGACATTTTCGCAAAGTGAGAAAAGTTGGTCAAACACTTGGAGGGATTTATGGAAATTAAATCCACGGGATCAGCTTTGTCAAACTCTAAAAATCCAAGCTTTGGCTACAAATGTGGTTATCGGATGTGAGACTTTAAAAGCATGAAAGATAAAGACAATATAGACTGAAACTATTTAAAATCTCTGAGGCCAGGGAAGACTTCACAGGCTCTCAAACACATAAGCTCCTAGAACTCCCCGTTCATTGCAATTCACTATGAAACGTGGAGAAGCAACCTGGACCTGAAGGGATTCATTATATTCTTGTATTATAAATAGGACCTCTATTCATTATCCCACTTGATATTTTGACATGGACATTCAGAGATGTTAAAGGATCCAGAGATTCTAGTTTGTGAACAAGAAAGTTGCTCAGAGCCCCAGTCTTTTGACATTACAGCCTTTCCTACTACTTTATGCTGCTTGGCAGCAGTATCAGTATTTGGAATTGCAAGAATATGAAATCGAAATCTTTATTGATTTATATTTTCCCTTACCTTCTTGTGGACCTTCAGTGACTTAGAAAACGCCAAGGGAAGTGGTAGAGTTGGCTTTCAATCCCCCAAAGAAGGAGGCTCCTATTAGGAGAGAAATGTCCAAGGCATCATTGCGACAGTGTTTCAGGGGAGATCAAGAAGCACAGACACTCAAACACCCTTTGCTGGATGTCCACTCCATCCAGTCCAAAAGCTGAATATTCAAGATGAAGGCTAAGGAAATGTATTCACCGTTCCTAGGGAAAGCTCAGTGTTAAGAAACATTTAGAATCAGTAGCAGCCTTAATAGTTAAGCTTAAGGGGTGATCAATAGAACCCCACTCAAAAAAAAAAATCTCCTTTCCTCTCTACTTCCCCAGGTCCCTGGAATTTTATCAGCAACTTATTGGTCTGGCTCTTAAAGGTTTTATTTGGTATTAAATGAGTCCCTTTGCACATTTGCCGGAGAGAGGAAATTCTTTAAGCTGTCCTAAACTAACATCTTCACACAGAGTTTCTCTGATTCCTCTCCAGTCATGACCTTTAGCTGAGAAGAAGGTCTTGTATGATAGGATCATGCAGAGGTGGGGGTTAGGGAGAGCAGGGGTGGCTACAGAGGGAAGCAGTGCTCCTAAAAGAGAAGCAGGTCGTTCAAGGTGGAAAGATGAGGAATTCATTATGTGCCGGGAAATACTGAAAAATAGAAAAGTGACATCATTTCTGTCCTCAAGAACAAGGGCTGACTGGAGACGTGTGGACTGCAATTCTTGTGGCTGTTTAAAAGAGCAGGAAAGGGCATGAGGCTGTTTCTGTACAAAACCAGAGCATCGGTACAGTTTTAGTTTCAGGGACTGAAGTAAAGACCGAATGAGTTGGAGAAGCTGGATCAAAGAGGGAAAGCTGGGTCGGATTTAGGCAAGGAGTACCTTGATCTGATCACAGCTGTGTCTCTAAGAGTTCCCTTCCCATAGTTATTGAGTCTCCACTGGTCCCTAGAACTGCAGTGGGAAGTCTCCAGGCTGGGTAAC